TACTTTACAGTGCAGACCCTTTTTACCTACTGAAGACCAATGGAATCCAAATCTTAGGGAATACCTCCTCATTATCTGTGTTTTTATAAATCTCTCAAAGTAATGGCTCTGCAGCAGCCTTTCCATGTACCTGTGTTTAGGAAATACTTGTATATATTTCGGAATGTTACCAATTTAAAGTTTTCATTTTTAAGTTTATTTTAGATGTACCTTCATACATGATCTTACAAACAACTGACTGGGCCTGGGTGCCTATACTTGTATTTTGTCCTTAAGTTTCTTTTCACACATATTTTTCTAATTTTCCTAGAGACCGTTTATTTGTTTGGTGGCTGGGATGGAACACAGGATCTTGCTGACTTCTGGGCATACAGTGTGAAAGAGAACCAGTGGACATGTATCTCTAGAGACACTGAGAAAGAGGCAAGTTCTCAGATTTTTCGTCCGTCTCTATTACAGCGGGAGGGGAGGGGGGCATACACTTCTTTTTCTGGATGGTTTGTATTCTTTTCTAATGTCTCAGCAGTGGTAGCAGAAAAATTGGTGGTAAACAAGTTTGCTTAAGGTATTCTTGCATTCCAGCTTCCATACCTGGTTCTTCAACTATGGGTACATGAACAAATCTCTTATAGAGATAAATAGAATGGGTATCTAAGATCATTTAGTTTTTTACTACTTTTGCCTGGAAATGTAACTGTGTAACTTTCCTTTTTCTCATCTCCCCATCACCTCTACTCTTCTTTCAAGCATTCATCTTATTTTGATTTCCTCTGAAAATTGTGTTTGGATGTCCTCACTATCTCACTATTTTGGTCCCTTATTATTTGACTATATCAGTTTTACAAATGATAAATATTTTATCTTTAACTAAAATTGTATGTATGTATTCACGTGTGTATCTATCTGTTGATACATATATGCATAAAGCGTTTCCATAGTGAATAAAATGGCTTGGATTTATGGCTTTGAATTAAATAAATGCATAATTATGCACTGTTTTACAGCAAATATTAATTCATTTGTTTCTAGATCTTTATAGAATTTTTTATTGTACCCTTCATCTAGGTGTTTCGGATTCCAAGGTGAAAAATAATAAACTGTAACAGATTAGTAGGAGCTGCAAATGAAAAGTATGAGAAATAAACCTAATTCAAAACCCACTGATTTAAATCTACAAAGACCATTTTTAAAAGTTCTGGTACTATGTTTTTAATCCTAGGAAATTCTTGCTTACTTATATATTCCAGTGATTAATCATTTGAGTAGTTCTTATCTTTCAAAAGGTATCTTAAAATTCTGATTTCTGTTTTTTATCCCTGTAAAAGTAGTAAAATGGTCTTTGTCTTTCAGTATTAAAGTAACACTTTCTGAAATGATTACTTCGATGAAGACATCTTAAAAAAAAATACCTAACTTATTTCTCTTAAACTGTTAAATCTGGGTTGATTGCGTCTGTAATTAGTCTTGCAGTAAACCTAGGATTCATCCTGGAATCCTCCCTCTTAACTCATAGAGTGTATCTAATTAGTGCCTCAGTTCCAACAGTTCTAGCTCCCAATATTGCATTTCAGATGTCTTTTCCTTTTTTTGGCATTAATTCCAACTTGACAGTTTCTTTTTAAAATATTTTTGCCTCTATTGTTGATTCCCCAGATCCATTTTTCCATTCATTACCACAATCTTTAAAAAACATATCTGGCCATGTGACACCTGCTCAGACCCAGTGGTTAGCTTCAGTCCGTTTCCGTTATCTATTCTATTACATTACAAGCACCCACAAAACTTCAGTGACATACAGTAATAAGTTATTTATTTTACTCAAAAGTTTAGAGATGAGTTGGGTCATTCTTGTAGTTTTGGCTGGGCTCACTCGTGTGTCAGGAAGTCATAGCATCAGATGGGACTACTTGGCTCTGTTCCACAGGGCTGCTCACCTTCCTGTTTATTAGCAGGGGCTTGTTTTCATGTCAGGGGCAGGGCTGCAAGGGGGATGAAGTGGACATGAGCACGCCATCAAATCTGTTTCCGTCCCATTGGCCGGAGGAAGTCATGTGAGCAAGTCCAGAGTCACGTCACGGTATGGTGAGGGACACAGACAGGGAAGTATGAATAGCAACAGTAATCAGAAGGATCAAGCAATTTATCTACCTTAGTTACTTTTGCTTAGAGGAAAATCTTCAGATTTCTCACGATTTGGTCCCTGCTTGCCTTTCTGGCCTCATCTCTTGACTTTCTGTGTCAGCCATACCTCTAATTGATGGAATGACTCAACTTTCTCACCTGTGTCCATTAGCAGTAGTTTTTTTCCTGTTGGGAATTAACAGAGGGTCCCGCTTTTACCTAGGAAATGTCTACTTATTCTTTTAAACTCAGTTCAAATTTCTCTTCCTTTATGAAGCCATTCCTGACTTCTCCACCGAGGAATTAGAAGCTTCCTTTTGTGTGCTCATTTAACCCTTATATTCCGTGAATAATTTACTATAATGATTGGTTTGCCTAGACTCCGAATTCCTTAAGGCATAAATCTTATGTTTTCTCTTTAGTGCGTAAATAGGTAAGTTAAATGAAAAATTAATGCTGGAGAAAAGCAAGGGAATGATAAATACAAATTTCAGGCAAGTAACTGCTTTGGCAGGAGAGGGGGTGGGTTTACATGGGACCTCAGAGGTAACATTAAGGTTCCACTTTTGAAGTCTGGCATGGGTATTATTTTTATACCATTTATTGTATATATCTTGTAAATAATATTTAGAAAACAGTTTAAAATTAATGCTGGAAAAATACAGAGATGACTTTAATGAGAACACTTTGTTTCTGTTATTTTGAAGTCAGTAAACTAGTGAGCCAGTGCTGAGGTTCAGGTTTATTATACTTTATTATTATTTCTTCATATAGACACCTAAAAACCTTTTGTTGATCTATCCCCTAATTGAATGGTAATATATGGCTCAGCTTAAATGCTCATTTCTTCTAAAATTGAACAGTTAATACTTCATTCATCTAATTTTATTTTCTATACCAGTGAGTACAAATATTGTTTGATAATGCCCCAGGGGCATGTGTTTTAAAAGTGTGATATACAATTAAAAAGCAAAATTAATGAAATTCACTTAAATATGTATCTAATAACACAGGAGATTGAAAGCTAATGGAAAAGCTCTGCTCTTAAAGAGAATAATTATTTTAAATGTTCAATTAGATATGTGAGTAAGTTTTTATAGCTTCAAAACAAATCTATTTTTATTTAGTTTACATTTTTATAAATCTCTTTAATGTCTAACTTAGTGGAAGACAGCCAGATTCTCATATCAGCTTCTATGTTTCATCTCTTGTGACATTGTTTTATGTGAAATATATGAAGAAAATAGGACCTCACATAGATATGTTTTTGGAAAGGAAAGTAGTATTTCAGTAGCCTTTCAGATGATTGCACACGTTCTTTTTTGATCTCATATCCCAACTTGCAAGTGGTTGTTTCGTAAAGGTAATTGCATCATAGACCATGAAACCGTATCAGCTAACATTTTATATTGTTACACTAAAATACATTCGTCTGGGGCCAACTTAGTGGCTCATTTGGTTAAGAGTTGGCTTAAGAGCGTGAGCTCTGAGCAACAGGGCCGCCGGTTCGATTCCCACATGGGCCAGTGACACTGCGCCCGAACTGAGCTGTCGCTCAGCTGCCAACAGGTGGCAGGATGGCTCAGCTGGTGAGAGCACGTGTTCTCAACAAGATTGCCTGTTCAATGGTGGGCTGTGTCCACCTGCAACTAAGACTGAACTCAACACCTTGAGCTGAGCTGCTGCTCGGATGGCTCAGTGGATAGAGCGTGCGCTCTTAACAACAAGGCTGTTGGTTCAACTCCCACATAGGATGGTGACTATGCCCACCCGCAACTAAGATTGAATACAGCACCTTCAGCTTAGAGGCCACAAGCTGCCGACAGTCAGCCAGATGGCGACTGGCGCCCTCCACAACAAGATTGAAGAAGGACAGCCAGGCTTGGTCCCCTTCCCCAAATCCCCAACACTGTTCCCCTCCCCCAATTCTCCAATAAAATCTTTAAAAAAATACAAAAATACATTGGTCTGTCTTGTTCTTTGTCTGTTTTCTATTCTATTGATTCCTATTCTTATCTTTCTTTTCTTTTTTTACTTAGGGAATAATTGCTCAACATTTTAATAGCACTTGTACTGATTAAGCTGAAGCAAGTTCTGTTACTCTCCTATTAAAATTTCAAATTTCACATTCTAGGAAATATGGCATCGATGTATTACATATTACCCCATTGTTGTTTTTGAGATTATTTAATTATGGAAAATTCTCGAAGAAATTCTTTCTCAAATAAAAATTCTGCCTTATCTACTGAAGATTTTCCTAGACAAAAATCTTTTAAAATAAGTTTTAAAATAGTAATTAGTATGAATAATAAAATGCAGATTTAAATCGACTTAATATCTGGATTTATAACACTAATGTCAAACTGTTTTTCATGCCTAATATCTTTACCCCTTCATTTAATCTAAATAATAATACTGGATTGCTCTTCCTATAATATGCTTTTATATCTTATTTTCTGCTCTAAAAACCTATAATAGTTTTTTAATGCTTGCAAAATTACATCCAGTCTCCTCTCTCAGTTACTCACCAGGCTTCCTATTTCTACCTTATACTTCACCTCTTTTATTTCTGCAACAGGAGTTCTTCATCTCAGTCATAGCCACACACATTGTAATAAATATATTTTTGCTTTTGTTTCTCTTGTGGAAAAAGCAATCAGGAATAGTGGAAAGAACACAGTTTTTGCCTTGGTTACATTGGGGCTTAGATTCTCCATCTTACTTCCTAGGTTTCTTACTGTGGACAAATTATTTACTCTCTGAAATGGTGATAATGCTTCCTTTAAAGTTGTTATATGTTGGGCCAGCCAAGTGGCTCAGTTGGTTAAGAGCTCGCTCAAGAGTTTGAGCTCTGAGCAACAGCGGTTCAATTCCCGGCCTGAGCTGAGCTGCCAACCGGTGGCAGGATGGCTCAGCTGAAAAAAAAAAGGAAGGAAGGAAGGGAGGGAAGGAGGGAGGGAGGTTGTTATGTTTCCTTTTCCCCCTTTTAACTAATTCAGTCCTGCCCAATTGAAGTTTTGGGTTGGTTTTTTTTTTTTTTCATGAACTCATGGTTTATACCACAATATTGTTTTACCTTTTATTCAGTTCTGTGTTACAAATGATCTCAACTAATTAGTTTTTGTTGATAGTATACCGTTCTTCATATTGTTTCCTAATTGTGTTATTTATTCAATCAGGAGAGTCAGTTTTATATAATGTAAAGGATGGATGAGGAAGTCAGCCTTGGATTCTCAGTCTGCTTCTGTCAGTAGTTTACTAGCTTTCAGGATACCTTTCATCTTTGGCTTACAGTTCCTCATCTTTCAAAGGAAATAATCAAACTAGAGATTTTATTAAAGTTACTTCCAGCTATGAAATTCAGTGATTCTGGAGATTCGTAGAGTGCCTGTTTTGTACTAGAGTCTGATGAGAAATATTTTAAAAGGCCAAATGTGTCTTTAAGTAGATTGGAAAAATACTATACAATTAAACTCTGCACAAGTGACTAAGATGCACTGGAGTATATAATAGAACCCATATAAGTGTATCATAGGGTACAGAATAGTTCATCTCATTTTCCTGGTAGATTTGAAGCATTTCTAAGGTGAGATTTGTATCTCCTACTGCTTCTTGTGCTTTTCTTTCGAGATTTAAGCCTCGTGTTGGACTTGTGTTAGTTGGCTTGCCATGAATTTCTGAGCAAACCTTGTAACGAAAGTCAACAAAAAAGGGATATTTAATTTTATTTTCTGTTGTTTGTTCTTTGAATTTTTTCTTTTCTTATTTCCCCCCCCCCCTCCACAGAATGGTCCTAGTGCCAGATCATGTCATAAAATGTGCATTGACATTCAGCGAAGGCAAATCTACACATTGGGGCGTTACTTGGATTCCTCTGTGAGGAACAGCAAGTCTCTGAAGAGTGACTTCTATCGTTACGACATTGACACGAATACATGGCTGCTGCTCAGTGAGGACACCGCTGCCGACGGAGGGCCGAAGCTGGTGTTCGATCATCAGGTTCGGTGCACAGATAATACGTGGTGGAATTAATCAGCGCTTAGTAGCCCTTGCGCTTAGAGTTTCTTTCTAAGTTGTCTATTAGTGATTTTCATTACAAATACCTATGACAGTAAAAATAACTTTTTTCAGTAGGTATAAAATTATTATTTAAATTTTTTTTCTTCTTTAGTACAGGATAAAATACTAAGATCTCAGAATACAACTGTGAATTTATAAAAACTCCAGAGAGTAGATGGAGCAATACATATTAGGAAAAACAAATTTAGTTTTATAATAAATATCCGTAAGTCATAACAATAACAATTTGCCCTTTTAAAACTTTTTATTCTTTATTCTTAGAAGAAATTGAAGATTATAATAGTTCAGTAATTTGAAATCTAGAGCTTTTCTTGCAATTCAAGGGAAATATATTTATTTTTTAATTTAATCACAAACTTGTTGCAAAACAGATAGGAATTTCATATAAAGTAGATGAAGTTTAAACTCAGCACCAATAAAAATCATATAATGATGTTGTAGACAAGAAGACTACACATGGTGATGTTGTAAGCTGTTTTAATATTAATATGCATATAGCTCTCATCATCGTTCCCATCTGTGTCATATCATTATCTGTACTTGAATACTTATTCCATATCAGTTCAGCATAGTGCAGTACCTCAAACAAAACCGTAACCACTTTGAATTCTGTAGGCAGGTTCAACCCATGTCCAAAGTTTTTTTAGAGTATGAGGGAGAAAAAGACTTGCAAAAAATCCGTAACACTGTATTGATGAATAGAGCATTATCTAGTATTTGAGAAATGGGAGGTGGTACTAGAATTATGACAGACTCTAACTTAGGCCTGTCTTTTCTCCTATCTTATATTCAAGTTAAAACCCAAGTCTGTTTTTATTGATTTTTTACAGATTTTTGTTAATTTTTGTCTTTGAAATTATCCTACTGCTTTATTTACATTAACAAGTAGTTGTTTCAGGAGAATGGTAAGGAAAAGAGGAGTGAGTTTTATGCCTATCAGGTAAGTGGTGGATGGAAAATCAAAACATCAGTCTTCAAAGTACTCCCCAGATTGAATTTGGAACTTCTGCTGGCTCTACATAACTGAGCTGCAAAGCTTTGCGCTTCCCTGCTGACAGCCTCTGTGTTTTCATGTGGAAAATAAGAATTCCAAAAAAAGTTTGGCTGGTTCTGATGTTTTAAAAACAGAACATCAGCAGATAACATTGTGAGGGAAACAATTTATTTTCTTGCTTTCGACTGGTGACAGATTTCTTTTATGAAAGGTGCTTATGTCTTTATTTTAACAGGTTGAAAAGATCTACAGGTTAAGGAGTAGTCTGAATATAACACATATATTGTCCTTGTGTATATGGCCTTTGCTTCACCTGACTTTGATATTATAGAATGTTCCTTGTAAGCTAGGTTCTGTTAAACAGTATTTGGTTTTCAACTGATCAGACATTACAGCAGGACAGTAGGGGTCAAAAAAACCGAGATTTCAGTGCTAATTCAGCTCTAGCTCTGTGACCCTGAACAATTACACAATCTGTATAAGCCTCTATTTTGTGTTCTATTTCATGCAAATAAAGTTATAAGTTGGAACTTACTCCAAAAATTACTTGGGGTTGTTCATGACACTTTAAGATTTGACACTTACTTAATGTTCAAATTTGAGAAGAATGTGAGAAAGAGGCGTGAAGTCATGTTTAGAAGTTACTTTGCCATTTTGAATTTAACATATTAAAATTTTTTAAATCCAAAGACTTTTGGATTTCGTAAGAACATAGTGGCACCATAGTTCTTAAAATTTCCATGTTGTTGCTTTATGTGATTTTTCAAGAATAATGAGAACCAAACAAAAAAAGATTAAAAAAACCAAAAAAAAAACCATAGACACAAGTCACATATTCAGCAAAAACAAAAGCCAAAGAAAACCTATAACTCCCAATTTCTTGTAACTTTAGCCAATAACAACTGACATACCCAGAACCTGTATTAAAACCCACAGCAGTGTAACGTGGGAAAAGTGGGACTGCATAGGGAGCCTCACAAAGGTACATCTTAGTGGGAGTGTCATGAGCAGGAGAGAAAGCTGAACCCAGGGCAGCCACGGAGGGGTCTGTGAAATAACATGGAAAGTGCCCAGAAAGGCCCAGAGGTGGTAGATGTCAGAAAGTACAGGAAATACTGTGACGGGCAGTGATTCCTTTTGCAGTTGCTAGAACTGGGGGAGCTTAAGGCTTGAGATACAAGCCAGGTGAGGGTTCACAGAGTTAGAAAAGACCCGGCTTTCCAGAACCACCATATTTCAAAGACGCCGTTTGTAGCAACAGAGGAGGGAGTCAGCGAGCGAAACATTCCCCTTTCATAGAAACCTTCGTCATCTGGTCCAGGGAAATTCAACTTCTTTAAAATATGAAAACCTAAAAAGCAATAAACACTGAATCTTTAGAGAGGTAACTCTAAGAAAAACAGTAAAAAGAAAAAGAACAGCAAAACTTTACTTCACACAACAGCAGATGAGAATTATACTCCAGTACCTGAACATCAATTAAATGACTTAATAAAGCTTGAAACTCTGAAGAAAATTGCAAAGCAGAAATTTAAGAATGTTGATGACCAAATAATATTGGGTTGTCGGAAAAGTCATGACGCATTTTTGCAACGAAAAACAGAAAAACTACGCCATGACTTTTCCGACAATCCAATAGGAACAAGTGAAATTGGACCTGGTAAAATTCAGGAAAGAAAGTGAAGAAAAACATAGTAACGCTCTCAGAAATGAAGACTAATCTAAAAGGAGCATAATCAAGAATAGGTAAGGGTCATATAGCATAGAAATAAAAGCAGACAATAAAGAAATAAAGGATAAAAAAAAAGATGAGCCAGAAAATTATAAAGAAGACAGGCAAAAGTGAACCAAAATTCATATAATTGGAGACATTAAAGACGAAAACCAAAACAGTGGAACAGAACAGATACTTATAAATAAAATTCAAGAAAATTTTCCTATAGAAAGAAGACTGTTCCACATATCAAAAGGGCATGCCATATTCAGGGAAAATTGACCTAGGCATTCAACTCTAAGACGTGTTAGTAACACTGAATTTCAAATATAAAGAAGCCATTTTGGGGGGCAACTAGACAAAATTATCAAGTCACCTATAAGAGAAATAAAATGAGACTGGTATCAGATTCCTCTAAAGCGACATCAGTGCCTGGAAACACTAGAGCAACAGCTAGAAGGTATTCAGGAGAATACCATGTGAGCCAAGGATTTCGCATCTAGCCAAACTGTTCTTCAAGTATGAACACTTTCTGAAGACATTTCTAGAAAATGGAATACCAGCTAGCCAAGAAATAGCAAGAGAAACTTCAGTCAAAGGATTGACGATCTCAGCTTATTGACATTTTCCCTGGGTCAGTGTGGCTCATTGGTGAGCCGAACATTTACTGTCCTCCTGCCCCACATCCTATGAAATAATGAGAATACATAAGTAACAGAGTTGGAAAACGAGAATGAATACCCTTGGGGAACTTAAAAAATGTGGTGGTAGAACTCCTTTAAGGTAGAAAGCCAATAGGATCAGATCCAACCAGAAGAAACGAGCCTGTATGATAGCAGCAATTTGAGTCTCAAAGTTCGTATCACTGGAGCAGACATTAGATGATCAGCTGGAGACTGAGCAGCAGGGCCTTCTTCAGTTTGACTGAGTAGCACCTAACTGTGATAATGGTCCACAGGTCAAATGTACAGTGTGGGCATCGGAGCTAGAAAGATAAAGCGGTACTTCCAGGGGCCCTGGAGAGCAGCCATGGGACCCTTCACAGCATCATGTCTCATTTCTCCCCCCCCAGTCCCTTGAGGCGGGCTGTTGTGTATGCAATAGGGAGTTAGATGAATAGGGATTCCCAGATACAAGGAGGACTACAGGCACAACCAAAAAATGCAAATATTTGAAGATAATGAAGACCATGAGACGGGGTGCTGAACTCAACAGATTAAGAATTAACAAAGAAGGACAGAATTATAAACTGAAGAAGCCTTTAAGACAACTTTAAGATAAGTTTTAGAGCAATTGAGGACGCTGTTGCATCCAAGAGAAACATATCTAAAAAAATGATAAATTGAAGATTCAAAACAAAAATCCCAGTAAATTAATTGAAAAGCAGAATGGACACACCTTTAAATGGTTTGTAAATAAGCTGAAATCATGAGAGAAAAGTTAAACAGAGCGAAGGCCCTAAAGTTCCGGTATCACCTAATAGTTCTAGAAGAGAATGCAGGCCGAAACAAACACAAGGTGAAAATGAAAACTCCTGGAGCTGAAGAGTTTGCAGAATGAAGGGAACACCAGGTGCAGATCAGGGTGAATGAAAAAGAATATCCCCACGTAGATACTTCCTTAATGAAATTTCAGAAGCTAGGATTAAGAGAAAATCCTAAAAGCCACAGAGAGAAAATGGTTACCTTTGTAGGCAAACAAATGAAAAGAAGCACATCACGATTAAAGGAAAGAGAAACTCCCTTTGTCGCCATATGTAGAATCATAGGGACTAGATAACCATAGGAAGCCTGATAACAGAAATTGGCCAAAATTAGGACGAGTCTGTGAATTTATGAAAATGTTAATTGGCTCACATAATGTCAGTCCCTCAGGATTTTCAGCATGATCCCCTGGATTTGGAGAGATTTGAGTCTTAAGTGCTTAAGACAGGGTAATGTGACCCAGCTTCAGTGAAGAGACCTTGACAGGGACAGAAACAGTAGGTGAATGGGGCCACACTGAGTTGTCTTCAACGATGTATGGATTATTCCTTTTAATGATAGAATTATTTCAGATTAAAGAGTGGGAACACTTTCTTTAGAGTGCCAGGGACATGAAAACTTGGACATCTGTTTTGCAACCATAGTCACCAAGATTTCACCCTTGAGGAATAGATTTCCATTTTAATTGGTGGAAGTCTGTCAGAAAGCTGGAAAATGGCTAGTGGGTCTGTCTAGTAGTAGGTAAAGATTAGGAGATGCTAGAATCTTTTCTTTTTAATATTAATTTAAAAACCAATCTTTACAATGATTAAAATAGCTTTTCATTAAAAACAATACAGAGATAAATAGCAGAAGTAATTTGATGGAAGGAAAGAATTGAACATACAATGGCTAGTATGTGTGCTTTAGCAAAATAATAAGATGTTTTGTGTACACAATTCTTTAAATATAATTGCTACTTGTGTTCAACATCTAATTCCCAATTTGAACTTATATGTTCTTTGAAATAGAATTTAATTCTTATTGTCTTGACAAATAGTTGTTTTCTCAGAGAGTTTTATGGAAAGTTATAATCTTGAGTTAAAAGAATGAAAAAGCCAAGGTCGGCTTTTGAACATGTGTTGCACAACATACCTCACAGAAACTTAAATTTATGGTATTGTGTTAAAAGAAGGCAAGATTCGTGACACCATGGATGTCATCCTGAAGACTGATTGCTGCAACTGGCTTTTTGTTTGTTTTACTATTTTGTAACATAATTTGAAGAGTTTTATAAAATAAATGCAGAGAGATGAATTTAGCTGCATCACTTATTCACATATCTGCTCTCCTATTAAATGGTAGCAAGCTTAACAGGATGCTTGCCCAGAATAGAAAGGAGTTTTGATAAGGATGAAAAGAAGGGTGTGATCACCGTTTACCTATAGGGTATGATCCTTACTACTCTTAGGTTTGTAAATCAGCACCTCATGTATTATTGGTTGCTTTGGTAAAAATTATGCAGTTTCAAGAAAGCATAAAGCTCATTAACTCCTACTGGGAAAAATGGGAACCTAGAAAGTTATTTAGCAGTCCATCCTGAATCTACCAGGTGGTGAGCAGTATTGTAATAAGTACATATGGTAATCAGGGGTAGTACTTAGTGTTATTAAGATGAAGTTCAGTTGTTTTTTTTTGAGAGTCTAAAACTGCACACATTGGTTTCATTTTAGCACATATGACAGGAACAGTCTCTAAAACTATTCAATCTGTTGCCTTGTTCTGATAGATGTGTATGGACTCAGAAAAACATATGATCTACACCTTTGGTGGTAGAATTTTGACATGTAATGGCAGCGTAGACGACAGCAGAGCCAGTGAACCGCAATTCAGTGGGTTGTTTGCTTTCAACTGTCAATGTCAAACCTGGAAACTTCTTCGAGAGGACTCCTGCAATGCTGGGCCTGAGGACATCCAGTCTCGGATAGGACACTGCATGCTCTTTCACTCAGTAAGAATATCCTGTATATTGTATTATGTTATTTTGTTGTGTTTATCTCACTAGGAAAAGAAGTGGTGAAATCTAATTCTTCAGAAAGAGAGCAGAATCTTTCATTGGAAATCGTTAGTGTTCACAATGATTGACAAAAATAAAACTTGAACAGTGAATGAACTGTTAGCTAATTATGAGACTCTTTCCCATCAATTTAGTAATTCCGAAATACTGAATACTAATCTAGGCACGTTTACAGGTAACTCCACTGCTTATATGGATATACATCTATTTGTCTTTCTTATATCTTTTTTTTATATTTTCTCCTCTACTATGAGTTGATTTTTCACCTTTTTTTAAAATTAATTTATTATTTTTTTTAATTGGGGAACAGTGTGTTTTTCTAGGACCCGTCAGCTCCAAGTCAAGTAGTTGTTTTAGTCTAGTTGTGGAGGGCGCAGCTCAGTGGCCCATGTGGGGATCGAATCCGCAACCTTGGTCTTATGAGCATTGTGCTCTAACAAACTGAGCTAGCTGGCTGCCCCTAGAAGTTTAAATTTTTAAAAAGTCATTCTGAATGCTTCATGGAAATAACTACTTGCTCTGTTCTTTACCCTTTATTTTCTTATTTTTCAGAAAAATCGTTGCTTATATGTATTTGGTGGCCAGCGATCGAAGACCTATTTGAATGATTTCTTTAGTTATGATGTGGACTCTGATCATGTAGACATAATCTCAGATGGCACCAAGAAAGACTCTGGAATGGGTAAATGCATTTATTTTAGTGATTCTTCTCTCATGTCTTAATTACTTTAGGTAGAAGACTACAGCCCATATTCTTTTCTTTCTAACCATTTTTCACTCTTTCCCCATTTCTCTAATTGAAGTAATTTTGAGTAAAAGGAAGAAAACAACCAGCTAAAGTATCCAATTCTGTTTAAAATATATGAACGTATTATTAGTTCCTTTAACAGAAAGACTATTTATGAATTTCTAAAGGAAATATGTGTGTGCTTGTGTGGGGTGGGGGCTTTGCAAGAATTAATATCCTGAAAACTGTATTCTGTATTTGCTAATCTTTTTCACCTTCTGTTTTCACTATAGTGATTCATATATCAGGCACTAGCATAGTAGAGTATGTCTTTGTTCTGAGGAAGGACTTCACGTAATTGGTAATGCCTTTTAATTCTACAAGCTCGGCATCCAACAAATTATTCTAGTAGTTGGGTGACAGGTTTGGTCGAAATAATCCCAGTTTTATGCAAATTGCCCTGGCATAATTAGTACTTCCCTAATCACTCTCAAAAGTATCTTATTTTGGACGATAATGTACATAGTTACCCCTCATAGTAGTCGCTTTGCCTGTGATTACTATACACAGAAGGATGGTATTTGTTTAAGGCCCAATGGTTTAAAATGCCTGATTTCAATAATAAGGTAATAAGTTAAATCAATTTGCTTTTCCTTTTAGCTATTATTTATAAAAACATCTTTTTATTAAAATAGTTTCTATTTAGGAAAGAAAAGTTTTTGTTTTTTCTTTTTTACAAAAGATAGCACCACAGTAAAAAACCGGGTGGGGTATGTGAAGTAGTTTGTCCTCCGGACCCTTCTCCCATACCTCCTCCTAGGTAGAGGCTAGAGCTTTATTTTCTGGGGGAAATAAAATGATGGAGGCTCTGTGGAGGCAGAGAGGACAGGGTAGAAAATAGGACAACTACACCTATAGACTGAACAGTGGAACTTCTAACTACTTCCCTGTTCCCATGATTCCAGACATATCTCCTAGCAGAAGATTAAAATCACCTTCTCTAGAGGAAATGTGTGGCCTCAGAGAAAAGATATTATTGTTTGGGGATCCCCTACCCCCCAATAAAATGGCTAATCTTGGCTGCCTAATCCCTCATACAATGGCCAGCCCAGTCCCCCTATAGTGTTGCCAAAGCACACATACTGTTTTCAACTAACTTTTTGTTTCTTCATTTTTAATGAACTATCAGTTAACTATGTTCTGTAGTAGGGCCTTCACCATGAAAGCGAGAGACAAACATAAAATAAATCCGAAAACAAATATGGGGTAATGTACTGAACACAAGTAAATGAAAATAATAATGATCAAGATCAATTTTCTTAGAAGGAAGGATACTGCATCCATAAAACAATAATAGAATATAATCAAAGATCAGAGACAAAGAAATAAGAGCTTTGGAAAAATAAATTTTGTTCTTATAAAAAAGTAGTCGAGTTGTAAGAAATCTCCTGAAAAGTAGACAAAGAGACAGAGATGGAAATTGGAGAAAATAGGATCTTAGAAAATCAATCCAGGAGGTCCAGTACTGAACTAATAAGAATTTCTCCAACTGTGGAGGATAAGGGAATGGAGGAGAGTAGATTATAAAGAAATACTAGAAAATTTCCACAAACTGAAAAGCATAGGTCTCCAGATTATACATAGCCCCCTACAGAAGTCAGCCCATCAAATTTAGAGAAAGAAAAACAAAAATCAAAAGCCTTACTCCAAAGGCACATCATTGTGCACTGTAGAATTTCACTTATCAGACATAAAGCGGATATCTTAAAAACTTCTGGTGTAAAATGAAATCACAGTCAAAGGAACAGGACTTAGAAATACGTTGACATTTCTCAGCAACGTAAGCTATAAGAAGCTAAAAGATAAGGGGGAACAAGGTCTTAAAAATTCTGAAGGAAAATTCTCATCGACCTGGAATTCTATTTCTAGCCAAAACACCGATGAAACAAGAGGGAAGAAATACTATTCAGATAAATCAGCTTTAACAGTAGAATGTGTTTGCCTCAAGTAATAGAAAATCCAGAGAACCATGGCTTAAACAAATAGAGACTCTTTTCTCTCACAGAATGAGAAATCCAGATGTAGATAATCTGGGACTGATGCAGTGAGTCAAGCAGTGTCATGAAGGCCCCCAGGTTCTTTTTAATCTTTCTGTTTTCCATCCTCACCATGACTGTAGCATCGTGGTGGCAGGTGGCTGAAGCACCTCAAACATCCTGCCTTCATTCCAGAAAGGAAACAAGGATGGGAAGCAAAACCTAAAACCTGCTCCCTACTTATATTTCATTGACTAGAACTGTGAAACCTGGCTTCAAGAGTCTGGGAAAGCAAGTATTTAGCTTTTCTAGCCTTTAAATAATACACAGGGGGATGGGTTTGGAAATGGCTGTTGAATCATGCAGACAACAGCCTGCCACCCAAGGTTAAAAAAATGATGGATCTTTTATGCACTCTTTCTTAGGAAGTTACTATATCATATACCTAACAGAAGGGAGTGAAAGTTATTAAAGAAAAAACATAGGAGCTGGGAAAAAGAGGATGTAACACAGGAAAGCAATGAGGGGCCATCCAAGATGATACCCGCACAGCAGACCTATGAGCATCCAGTTCCCATTGGAGCAGGGCAAGTAGACTTCTCCTCACCAAAAGGGAGGCTTCCAGGTAAAGGTAGACCCAATAGGTATGTCTGAGCATTTGGAATAAAAAGGTAATAGGTCAGTAACATCTGATACAAAAGATTAAGGATAGGAACATAATAAGAAAAGAAAAGCATTCATATAAGGAGACGTCAGTCCATTTCTTGGCTCTGTGGTGAACAGTATTTCTTTAATCATCATAATGCAAAAACTGCAATTTCACCAAAATCTGTGGTAAAATTGAGTGGGAGGGTAAGGTGAGAGGAGCCGGGGGGCAGTGTCAGTGTAGTCAAAATCTTCATCTGCTGTAATGGAGTCAGTAGGCGATGTCTAGGATAGCAGCTTAATTAAGCATGTTATTTAGAGATACGGGAAGAAATATAATAAGAAATGACATAATATTACTTACCCTTTCTAAAATTGTCTTATTTCTTTACTCATTTTCTGCTACCATAGGATAGATAGTATGGAGGCATATATTTTAATCTTTGACTTCCTCTAGCTTTTAAGAGTTTTTCTAACTTTCCATTAAAATAACTGGGAGGAGAGAGGTCATTCTTCTCCTACAATGCTAATGTAGCTCTACCTGTAAAAGGTAGTGACGATAGTAATGGATTTGACAAATGTGTTGAAAACCACTATGCGCTGGCTCAGTGCCTGAGTGGGGATACAGTGGAACAAGCTAACCATGGTACCTCAGAGTGCTTGTAACCTACCTAGTAGATAATATACTGATGGATTACAGTAGCTACTCTTTATTTAGACCTTACCGTATGCCAGTCACTAAGCACGGCACTTTAGGAATACCTCTAGCTGGTGGTGGTAATCTTATTTATCAGATGAGAAAAATTGAACTCAGTATATCCAGCATTACACAACCAAAAATACAACAGATAAGCTGGGATTTAAAAGTTCGAGTGCAAAGGTTTTTTCCCACTATTCTAAGCTGCTTCCCAAGATGGAAAGAAAAAAGTGGCAAAGAATAATAGTGGAAAGAATTAGTAAAAAATTCACTATTATATGTAGGCTTTAATGACTATTACTTGAAGATTTAAAAAAATGATCAGTATAATGCTTCATTCATGGTTATGGCTAGCTTTAGAACCAGCAAAGTATGATAATTGTTCTTTTTGGTTCAATTTTGTTTTGGTTATAAAAGTAATATTGTCATTGTAGAGAATTTGGAAAATATAGAAAGATGCTAAAAGAAAATGTATCAAACCAGGTGTAATCTGTTAACATTTTGATGTATTTCCTTCTAGTCTTTTTTAAACATATTTATTGTATTAAATTTAGCACAATTTTATAGTCTGCTATTTAAACATTTTCATTAAATTTTAATTTTTTCATCATTATAGTTTTATTACCATGGACTAGATGTATTAGTAAAAAAGACATGTGGATTCATTTCCTAATTACTGCTGTAATCAACTTTTGTGAAATCAGACTTACCAATTTTGCTATACATCTTAAATTTTTAATTGATTTATGGTGCATTATCCCACAGTGCAAACAAATTCATTCATTAATTTAATAATATTTGTTGTCTAGCATCTAAGTTTGACCCTCTTCATTCCTTCCCCCCAACATATTTCAGTGCCTTCCATATACCAAGTATGTTTTATGGACCCAGGGGGATAAGATCTCCTCTCAAAAAGATCTCCACTAGAATGTGGGGGGGAAACTTGCAGTTGCCTTCCAAGTATTGTGGGGAAAAAAATCAGATGCTATGCTAATAAGGAACATGGGAGGTCCTATTTAGATAGAGTAGGTGGGAAAACCATCTGAGGAGGTAATCTTTAAGATTTAAGACAAAACGTAGAGAATGAGGAAGAACCATGTTAAGAACTGAGAGAGGAGCAAGTACAAAGGTATGAAAGCTGGAAAGAACTTAGCGTGTGCCAGACATGGTTGGAGCTGGTGCAAACTGAGATGGGAAAAGATGGCATGAAATGAGGTTAAAGAAATAGCTGAGTCTGATTATTCAGTCCCTTACACAAATGTAAGAAGTTTAGACTCTATTTGCTAATAAAGTTATTGAAAGGTTTAATGCCAGAGTCTTGATCTGATTTAAGTTTTGAAAATACCACCCTTTTGTCTAGATACATATTGTCCAAGTGATTAGTTTGACGATATGCCAATAAATTGCATTGTCCAAAGGCTATGTGTATAGTGGGTGCTTTAACCGAGGATTTTTGTGGCAGAGTTGAGCATCTGGTTAGAACTACCATACTTGGAAAATTTGCCCCCCTAAACCTGTTACAGTTATGCTTGCAATTGTGGAACCTTAGTGGCTCTATTGGCATATTAGTGTGAAAC